CAAAAGAGCTGGAGTTGAGTCAAGAATAACCTACCCAGCAAAGCTCAATATGATCCTGAATGATAAAAAAATGGACAGTGGACAAACTGAAAGACTTTCGGGTATTTGTAACATAAAGACCAGAACTCAAAGGAAAATTCGATCTAAAAGATACAGAAGAAATATAAAGAATTACATTAGGGGCAGCTAGGTGGCGCAGTGAATAGAGCACCGGCCCTGGATTCAGGAGGACCTGAGTTCAAATACGGCCTCAGACACATAACACTTAATTAGCTGTGTGACCCTGGGCAAGTCACTTAACCCCACTGCCTAACCACCCCCCCCGAAAAAAAAGAAAAAAGAAAAAAGAATTACATTAAAGACTAATTACAAGGCACTCGTTAAGGTCAAACTGTTTACTTATCATACATGTGAAAATGTTATGAGTATTCTTAAAACTATCATCATTACTAAGGTAGTTCGAAGAAAAAAAGGTTGGGGCTGGGTTGTATATGGGGTGATTCTAAAAAACAAAACTGGGTAGGAAAAGGTAAAAGGGAGCAATTATATTATAAAGATGGGGCATGAAAGGAAAAACTAATATAGAGGAAGCAGTGGGGGTGGGGGGGTGGATGGCTGGTAATGTTGGAACCTTACTCTCATCTGGGTTGAAGAGGAAACAACATGTACATCTGGAAGGGTACAGAAGCCTTCTGAACATGTAGAGAGGTGAGAGACTTGGGGGACAGGGCGGGGGAGGGGCTTTTAGAGGCATCTGTACATAGGATTTGGGAGGGTAGCAGGAGAGGGGCTTTTGGAGGAATGTGTGGATTGGGATTGGAAGGGTTGGAGGAGGGAGGAGGGGAGACTTGTAGAGGTGGGTAGGAGAGGAATGGAGGGGGGAGAAGATAAGGTAACAGGGATAGGGTAAAAAGAGAGAATGAGAAAGAAAATACTGAGTAAAAATAAGATGGAGGGAAATTCACAAATAATAATTATAACTTTGAATATGAATGGAATGTCTATAGCAGCTCTCTGTCTCTGTGGTGGCAAAGAACTGGAAACTACAGGGATCCCTGTCAGTTGGGGAATGGCTGCACAGGCTGTGGTGTATGGTTGTGATGAAATGCTGCTGTGCTATAAGAAAGGATGAGCTCAATGACCTTAGAAAGGCATGGTAAGACTTGCGAGAAATGGTGAATAGAGAAGGAAGCAGAACCAAGAGAACGTGGCACCCAGTAACAGCAGTGCTGTTTTAAGAACAACTTTGAGCGAATGAGTCATTTTGACAATTATAACTGCACAAATTAAAAATAAGAGACATATGAAGAAAGGCTATCTGCATCCAGAGAAAGAAATGATAAACAGAAGTATGTATAAATCAATTTTACATATATACATATACCCATTTGTGTGTAATGGAGAAATCTCTAGGCTGGGGTAGTGGGAAGGGAGAAAACAAAGGAAGAAGGAAAAAAAGAAATTTACATTATAAGTTTATTAGGTATTTAAAAGGAATAGCAAGTTGTACATAACAGATTTGCAGTTTCATGCACAATTTTTTTTATTACATTATGTTATAGAAATGTTTGTTTTATTCCATAAATTAAAAATAAAATATTTTTAAATGCCCAGAGTGGGGAGATGGGACAGCGAAGAGACCTATGTCACTGAATCTGAGAGAACGTGGAGGGCAGTAAGAAGCAAGAAGAGGCCAGGTGATGAAGGTAATTCAAGCCAAACAGGAGTCTAGTCACTAGAATGCTCAAAGGTTATGTTTGAAAAGGGCAAACTCCCTTAGGTCTCATGCAGATAAAAAGCATTGAATATGGAAGACTATCTTCCATCTGAAGACCTTCCCAGCTAAGCAGGAAGCTCTGTTCCCCAGAAGATAGATTACTAAATGATAAATAGAAATTATTCAGTCCATGCTTCTGAAGAGACAGTTGTGTCAATGCACTAGCAGAGAATTAGCAAGTGGCCCGTTTCTATCAGCGGATTCAGTGCCCACCCAACAGCAACACAAATCCCTATAAATATGGAGCCATTTCTGCAGGGGGGTTTTGTTTTAGCTACCTGTACAACTGCCTGAAAGTCTGTGTATGTGAATTATACAGGTGTGTAAAGAGTCACTTTTATTATATCAAAAGTATAAAAAGACTTCCTCCACTTCCAATACTTCAGCATCATGTAGAGGTTACCCTAGATCTCCCAAGACAATGGTAGTGAAGCCCAAAGCATGCTGGGAGGCTCTATCTACTTTGTAAGAGCCAACCTAACCAATGTGGATAGGTTTACGGTGAGAAGGTTGCCCAGCAGGTGATGAATTTTGCTGGTCAAATCAATTCATGAAATGATTTACAAAGGTGTGACGTGCTATTCTCTCCTTTGGTGGAGGGAGCACCTACGCTAACAAAATCACACATCCTTTAAGTACTGAAGTATAAATGGCCAAAGAGTTTAGACAAAGATTTTACCTGCATTTTCTTTCTTCTCTAAAATAAGACAATGAACTCAATGCATCCAAATTAAAAACTTCAGTGTTTGGAACCCATGGGTTTTCACTAGCTCAGCTCTTTCACTAACCAACCATGTGACCCTTGAGTAAGTAATTCTCCCTCTCTTGACCTCAATTTCCTCTTATGTAAAATTTGAGAAGGGGGTTTCCAAGATCCCTTTTCCTCTAACACTACAGGAATCCTATATGAAATATCTAATTAATATTAGTTTAATGAAGAGAATTTACCCACATTTTTAAAGATTTTTTTCCTGAATAAATGAAACTATTATCTTTAGAAAGTATCAGTACCTTTTTAAACTCTGAAAATTTAGTTTGTATACTTAAGAGCAAATCTGTAATTTTCAGAATTACAAATCTGAATTCACAAATTTATTTTTATTTAGGAAATTAAGAACAGAGACCTAAAGCCAGAAGGAAACTCAGAAGTCATGTAGTCCAACCCAATAATTTTTTAGCTGAGGAATCTGAGGAATTGAGAGATAAAAATGACTTGTCCAAGGTCACATAGGTAGTAAGTGGAAGAGCTGAGATTTGAACCCAAAGCCTCTGACTCCAAATCCATTGATTTTTCCATTGCATCATGTTGCCCTTTTAAGGAAATACTGTAGATTTTTTCTGAATTTCATGCATTTATTCAAGAACTACTGAGTAATGAGTATATACAAGGTACTCTGTCAGGGACACAAAGATGCATAAAACCCACAACATGCTTAAAAGAATTTACAGCCTGAGAGCAGAGAGAAGATGTGAACACAAGTAACCAGAATATGAGGCAACCTAAGAATGGGATAAACAAAATGTCAGATTATCGTTAAGAGGTGGGAGATCTCTTCAAAGGGATCATGGGACCACAGGCCTAAGAGGCCAAACAGATCTAGTCTGCTCGCTTACTTATGAGTACAACGAGGGATTATCTTGATTTCTATGAAAAATTAGCAAGACAAGCCAATGTCCAGCAGAAATAAAATACATGTCAATTGTAGGAAGAAAAGTTAGTTTGTATTACCCAAAAACGGTTGTGTATCGTCCTATCATACCTACAATAATCTGATCTATTATAGTTCTAAGGTTTAAAAACTACAGGAAGATTTCACAAGGAGCCACTATTTATTTATCAATCAATCAATAAACATTTATTAAGTACCTACTATGTGCTTAATACCTACTATGAGAGCATTCCCTGCCTAGGGGACAGCCCAGAGACAAGGCCTGGAGGTGAGAGATGAAATGGCTTGCTCGTGGAACAGCCAAGAGGTGAGTGTCACTGGATCTACCTGGAACGCTGTGTAGAGGATTCTGTATTTGATCCTGGAAGGGGCAGGGAGGTATCGGAGTTTGCTGAACTGGGTGGGGTGTGTGTGACATGGTCAGACCTGCACTATAAGAAAATCACTTTACTCTCTGAATGGAGTGGGGAGACTTACGGCAGGCAAACCCACCGGGCAGGCTACTGCAATAATCCAGGTGTAAGGGCCCAGCCCAGAGCGATGACAGCATCAGAGGAAAGGAGGAGGCGCATTGGAGAGATGGTGTGAAAGTGAAGTGGACAGGCTTTGGCAATACATTGGATATGGGAGATAAGAGAAAGAAAGGAGGAGAGGACGGCTGCAAGGTTTTGAGCCTGAGGGACTGGAAGGAAGGTGGCCCCCTCGACAATGACAGGGAAGGGAGGAGAACGAGAGGTTTTAAGAGAAGGATCATGGGTCCTGCTTTAGACATGCTGAGTTTCAGGTGTCCACTGGACATCTAGTTTGAGATGCCTGAGTGCCTGAGACGGCTGGAGGTCAGCAGAAACGCCAGGACCGGACAGCTAGATTTGGGAATCATCAATTAAATCATCAATTAGAGCAATTAAATCCATGGCAGACGATGACATCACCAAATCAAGTAATGCAGAAGAAGAAGAGAGGGCCCAGGACAGATGCCTGAGGGATACTTCTTGTTAGAGAGTGGGAGATGGATGAGACTCATGCAAAGGAAACTGAGAAGGAGCAGTCAGAGAGGTAGGAGGAGAACCAGGAAAGTCATGTCTCAAACGCCCAGAGAGAAGGGAGAGCAACAGTTTCAAAGGCTGCAGAGAGGTCAAGGCAAATGAGGAGGGAGTGAAGACTGCTGGATCTGGCAACTAAGAGATCACTGGTAAATGTGGAGAGAGCAGTTTGGGTGGAAGGCAAGGGGTTAAGAAGAGAGTGAGAAGACATAAAGTGGAGGGACTTATTGCAGATGGCCTTTTCAAAAAGTTTCGCCAAAAAGAGCAGAAGAGATGAAGGATGATAAGTTAAATAAAAAGACTGGAAGAATTACTTACTATAACAAAACATTTAATAGTCATCAAGTTATCTAGTAGTTCATATAGGCAATTATAATTTAAATATGATATATAAAAATAAATGTAAAGTTTATTCCACATATTAAACTATATTTACATTAAGGATGCACTGTTTATTTAATAAAGAAAATTATCTCCCAATTACTAGAAACTCATTTCTACAACACTTACCTCTCCATGGTTGAAAAAGAAGCACAATACTGTAACTAGGCCTCCTAGTCGACTCCCACTGTGAAAAGATGAGTACATGTCAATGTAATTCAAATACAACATGAATTCAGATCAAATTATATTACAACAAAATCTTGTTATAACAAAAAAGATTTCCTCACCTACTTAAAGCAGAATTTAATAAAGCATAATTTGAATTCAACAAAAAAAATTTGTGGAGTTCACAACAGAAACTGACCTGCAATTCATTTCCCAAAGAATATTATTTCAGCTTCTTTTGTAAAAACAAAAAAAAAGGCAATTTTCCATACTAAAAAATACACAATGCTAAAAAGAAATCAAACAAATAAACAATATACCAACAAGAAATACTTGTAGTCCCTTCAATACAAACACAATATCACTGATTATTTCCTTTTTTTTTTTTTTTGCCTTTTTTTTGGTGGGTGATTGGGGATAAGTGACTTGCCCAGGGTCACACAGTTAGTAAGTGTTAAGTGTCTGAGGCTGGATTTGAACTCAAGTCCTCCTGATTCTAGGCAGACCCAGTGCTCTATTCACTGTGCCACCTAGCTGCCCCCTGATTATTTACTTTTAAAGAAAAACCGAGTCCTTTAGCTTTCCCAGCTTTTAAGAAATCATGGGGGGAAAAAATAAAACTACAGGGCTAAGAAACTGCAAAGCAGGGATCTTATCGTTGGCCATACCATTATATAGCACTCTCAGTGAACGCAAAGAAGTACTCCACTTTTTTAGTCTCACCGTCAGGAGTAAATCCTCTCCTTCTCATTTACAATATCCAACTTCCTTCTAGGCCTAGTATGAAATGCGAAGGATAAGGAAAGGTAATCCTATTTCACTCCTAGCTGGGTAGAATCACTGGATAGCCCCTGGCCCAGGATGTCACGAAGTTACTCAATACCACCCAGCCTGTGGGGTTCCCAATCGTGAAACACATGGTGAGCTTTTGACTGACAGGAAAAACCACCTTGAAAGTGGTCCTCTGATCCATGTACCCTAAGGTGATCTTCTCTCTATGAGAAAGAATCCTCTCCTGACACTGAACACAGGCTTGATTTTTACAAATGATGATGGGCTAGGGAGGGGGACCACATAGCCTTTTAGGGAGTTATGTGAAGCATTCTGAGCCTTTTTACTCAGCTCAAAGAAATTCTTGTTATGATTAAAATGATTTTGAAATATATTTTCTGTTACACTTGACACTTACTAAAAGTGAGAGTCTCCATTTCTGAAAAAGGCAACGTCTATAAAACTGCTCCACAATATGAGCACCAACTGTCAGAAAAAATATATTTCTTGACTTAGAATTTTTTTTAAGTTTAAAGGTTTAAACAAACTAACCATCTACCCTCAGAGAAGGTGGCTTTTATTTATTGCATTTATTCATGTGACCTCAGTTAAAACGTGTGCTCACTCATTCATATGGTTTCAACTATAATGTTGATGTTAATCCCAATCTAAATCTACAAAGTATAAACCTAGAAAATCACTAAGATTCCTTCCACATTCATTCCTCTAGGATGTGATAAAAAGGAGCTATCTTTTGCCCTCTTTTGCGTCGCCAGCACTTAGCCTAGTCGGCACATCATAAATGCATATTGATGAACAAAAAACCTACAAAGGAATGACAAACATCTGGGCTCATCTGCCATCACTACAGCATCTGTATGAATCTTCAAAAGTCTGGAAAAGTCAGTGCTAATGTCATTTCTCCAATATTCATTAAACACCCACTGTGACGAGGCATTGACTATCCATTGAGTAGTAAAAGTAGTAAAAAGCTCTACTTCTTCACTGGGCAGTCAGCTTGACTGCAAGGAGGCAGATGATCTCCAGAACCAAAAGATGACCAGAACCTTCAAAGGCATCTTTGCTCATGAAACAGCACGTCCAAGGCCCAGCTGATTAAAAAATGTGAAGAGACCCAGGAGGTGAGGACAACTGCAGCTTCTGAGGATGACGCTCCTTTCCCATCTTTATGACACCCTGTTCCTTCGTAAGCCACAAAGTGTCTTTAACTGACTACTTTCTTAGCTCACGTGAATGCATAAAACATCTCTGTGCAAAACTTACTATTGTGGAGAGAAAATTCTAAATTTCAGCCTGCTTGTCTCTCTCTTTCTCTCACCTATGCACAAGGAAAGGTTGGTTCTTAAACCTAATGTTTTGTTACTAGATTATTTCTTAATGCTGGGTCGTGCACAAAAAGGCCAAAACAAACCAACCCCTGTCTTCAAAGAACTTTGGTGTGGGGAAGAGGCATGTATCGACAGTCAGCAGGCATAAGACAGGTGAGGAAATCATAAGAACTAAAGAAGGAACAGGAACACTGCATGGCTCTTACCGCCTGGTGGCATCCAGAAAGGGTGAACAGAACAGGCAGAAGCCAACCTGAGAACCTGAAGGACAAGGAAGGCTGTGAAAGGGGGAGGCAAAAGTGGAGTGCATCCCCTGTGGGGGATGGCTTGAGTGAACGCAGGAAAAGAGGAGATGACATAACGACTAGGGAGAACGGCGAGTATCCCAATTTGGTAGGAAAATGGAGTTCATGAAGGGGAGTCAAATGAAGGGGAGCTGATAAGGTAAGCCAAAAGGAGATGGTGGGGGCCTTAAATGGAGGTTAAAGAATTTGCTGCTGCTTTTTTTTTCAATTGCAGAGGCAACATGAAACAAAGGGAGGAAGAACATATCAAGTCAAAGGTAATTCAAACCAAAGCTAACATTTCTATCTTCCATCAGGAGATTCATGTAGGATTGCTCTACGCAAAGAAGCAATGTACTTTCAGACAATCTGCTTGACAAAGAAAAGAACCAATAATTTTTGCTTCTTCATCTGTAAAATGAGGGGGTTAGATTAAATGGCCTCTGAGGTCCCTCTGACTCCACATCCATGGACCTATGACCCTACGTAATTGCCAAAAGTAGAAACACTTTAAATGTCCAACAATAAGGGAGTGGTTAAATCAAGTGGAGTCCATTACTGTAATGGAATACTTTAATGCAATTAAGATGGACATGATGCAAGGAAATATGAAAAAATCTTTATGAAATAATTTGGAATAAAATTAACCACAGAATAGAGGAATGGAGTACACAGTAAGTAATATCACATAAGAATGAATGGACAGGATGAAAAGATCCAGGTGAAGTCTTAGAGAGACTGAGAAAATATTACACTGCCTTATGTGCTTTAATTAATTTTATTAAATTAGATTAAAATAGTTATTAGACAAGTGTAATTTTGTGTGCATGTTAAATTTCTAATAAAACAATTAATTTAAAAATAATCAGTAGATCAAATCAAGTTCTCTCAGTTGTTATCTTTCAAAGAACGTCTAAAGGGAGGCCACTGAGGCAGTATTTTGTTCTATCAAATAATTTGTTTTTTAACAGAAAAGAAATAAGGTCAGTGGGACCCTGATTTCTTTGCATCTTTGAGTCTACTGAAATTATAAAGATGAGATTTACTGTATCTGTCTTTTGCAAAAGCCCACCTGTTTTCTTCTCCCTTCAATATATCTACACATTACTCTCATAAACATTTTAAAGACAGTAAAGTTGCCCAGTGGTCAGAAGTTAGTGATTTTCTCTTGTTCGCCTTTCTCGGTAATAGTAAGGCCCATGATATTTTCCAAGCAACTGATATCCCCTCCCTCTTCGTGATACCATGAGAATAAATTGCTCAAAGCTCGTTAAGATTGTACAAACTCTTATATAAGCCATTGATCAAAATGACAAGAAGACAACCAAGCACAGGCCTCCTCCCACGGGACACCTCCCATGATGACAGACATTGAGCCCCTCATGATTACTCTTTAAATCCATCCCGCCAACCAGTTCTGCAACCATCTCCTTGCGTTTTCATCTAATATGTCACTTTTTCCACAAATAAAGTATGAGATGCTTTTTCAAAAGCCTTTCAAATACTTGAAACGACCTATCATGCACCCCAAGGCTTTCTCTTCTCCAGGATAAATATTTCTGGTTCCTTTACCCAATTGTCACCTGACACGGCTTCAAGGCCTCCCACTCTCTCTGCTGCCATCATTCCTGCACATGTTGTACTGCCCAGTGAGGTAGCAGCTCCCTGCAGGTAGAGGCCATCCCCTTCTGCTTTTGTAACCCCCTTCCCCAACACGATATTTTGTATTACGACATTTAGGGAACTGAACTGATTTTTTTTTCTGAAAGAAAACATTTAGAAAAAAATACCCTAAGGGGTATATCACTACCTCCAAGGCCACATATGGCTACAAAGGGTCAGCTTTCAAAATTAACAGGAAATGTACTTATAAAGATAGTCATCTGAATGAGTTTCCAAGTAACTTGTGGCACTATATACAATATGTAACTTTTCATTTTAAATTGTAATGAAGACGTCAGTAACAAAGTAAGCCTAAGAAAAAATTTTGGATTAGGAAAACAACTTTAGAGTGGCATAATATAATTTTTAAAATACACTCAGAAAAAACCCTACAGTCTAACAAAGACAAATACATACCTTGTAACAATAATAATAATAATGATTAGCATCAGCAAATATGAAGTATTTGACTCTGCATTAAAGGAAATCAATCTAATTTGTTGGGAGTTAGATAGAGGTTCCAACTGGATTTGCTAGAAGTAATAGTTGCTGCCTTAGATCAGGACTCAGTAAATTAGGGCCTACAGGTCAAAAGAGGTCCATTGCTTGTTTTTATACAGCCCATGAGTTGAGAATGATTTTTGCCTTTTTCAATGTGCTCTATTTTTAAATATAAAATTACATTTTAAAGTAAATACACTTTATTTTTAAAAAGTAAAAAGCATACTATAGATGACAAAAAACTAGTAGATAGATGCTGGTTGTCTTGCACTTCCAAATCCAAATCTCTAAGAGAACAGGAAAACATGGTATTTGTTGTCTCTGGTTGGGAATCCAGGTGAAAACATCGAGAAATGGAACCTGAGAATAAGGGCCAGCTTGGAAATGAATTAAGAGGCCAATATAACAAGATCGGTTGGAAGATGGCAATTTGTTTAAGTAGGCTGTTGGCC